AGAAACATAGAGAAAAGTATCTATTTTCGCTACACTTGTAGGAGATGAGTTCTGGAGGTCCCTTACAGTCCAGCTTTTTAGGATTCTAAGTCAGGTAGGCTTTTTGCTGTCTCTCTGTGATTTCTAACTGGAAAAAAAAAATTCTGGAATTTCTTTGTAGTTCGCGCATTGAGGCAGAAAAATACTTTTTATCCTAACCTTTTCCATTCTTTTCCCTAGCTCATAGGCTATAGACTTGTTCCTTCCTTCCTTTGGTTTTACTTTGCTCTGATTCTCAATTTCCATCTCTAGTTAATGGCAGAGGTTGGTGACAGATGGCCTTGTTTGCAGAACTGGGGGCCTTTTGTGGCATTTGTCATTGAGGTGGGCAGCAGAGAAAAGTGGTGGGCGTTAGGTCCTAAAGTCAGCAAGTCCTGGACCTGAGCTGAGTCATTAAGACTTGCCAGCAGAAACTGTTGCCAGCTGCCATTTATGGTCACTGACTACACGTTCGGTGGAAAATTTGCTTCATTTTGCATGTTTCAGTATATTGGGATACTCTGCTGCTACCATAAGCCTGTGCTGAAATCTGTGAGTCTAGCTTCTTTCTGTTTTTTACTTTATCCTTTACTTTTGAGCACTTTGCTCCACTGATCAAAAAGTTAGAGCTGTTGAGTCCCAGGAACCATGATGCATATGAATGAATCATGTTTTCATTTGGATTTTATTTTTCATCGTAGGGCTTAGCAACAGAGTGATATAGAAAAAAATACTGAGCTTCTGCTGTGATTTCTAGCAAGGGGAATTGGCCTAATTCAGCTCTGCAGCCATTTTCCTTTGTATAAGGAACATTTGTTTGTAATCAGTTAAAGTGGGGGCTCATGTGTCACACAGTTACCATATGTTGTTGGTGGGAATTGGGGTGTGCATTAAATATCAGAAAATTTGCAGGGGAGTGGTGGCAGCATTAATTGCCACTGCTCCCAGCAGCAGCAATTAACATTGCTGCGGTTTCCCTGCTGCCAAATTTCCAGACCTGTGGAGGAACTCTATGGAATGGATAACATGTCTCTGTGTGGAGCCTAGGGTTGTGCACCAGATCCAGGGCAGTCCACATGCAGTAGGTGTGGACCCTCTTGCTGGGTCAGACCTCCAGAACCAGGCTGCAGGGAGTGGGCAGAAGTGAGGAGAGAGAGTGTTAACTCTTGCAGCCTGAATCTGTGTGGGTTGAGCTGTCTCTGAGCTTGCTGCTGGGTGGGGCTGGTGAGTACCTTGGCCCTGCTGAATGGGTGGGAACCGCTTTGCTTTCTACCATGGAGCAGACACCAGTTGTGCCCTGTAGTACTGGGAGCTGGATTTGGGAGTTCTGCCAGCTACTTCTATGCCCCTGGGCAGGTTTCCTAGTGGAGGTGCCCCTCAGCCTGGGTCACCTCCTCCAGAGTCTCTGCTGTAGGTTGAGAAGACCATGGTTTTCAGAGCAGGGGCAAGCACTCAGGTCTGGCCTATTACCTGCTACCTGGCTCCTGGGCAAACTGCTGCCAAGGCACCACTCTGGGATGAGAGAGGTGCTCAGTGTCTTGCCACAGTGTGAAACAGCAAGAACCGTTAGCAGGAGAGAGTTCAGATAGCAGCAGTCCTAGATCTGGCTTGCTGGGTCTGCCTGTGGGCCTCATCTGGCATGTGGTTTGGTATCAGGCACAGGAGCAGGTTTCTCGACAAGAACTTCTCTTTCATTCAGGCTGTCCTTCAAAAACAAGATGTGTATTACATCCAGGGGTGTGCGGTGTGTGAGAAAATACGGTATTGCAGAGTGGGTTGGATAGTTTTAATAGTTTTATTGAAGGTATTATAGTTGTCTAGTGGTTTCTTTATGTCCTAAAGAGCCCCCCAACAGTGCTTTTTCTCATCGGCTACAAAAGCACAGTTTAATTTCTCTGAACTGTGATGAGACCAAGGTATCTGGAATTTAGTTTGAATTTAATCTCCATGTGTCTAATGGCATTTTTATTGTATTTTTGTTGTTTCTAAGTTTGTTTTTTTCTCCCCTGAAATTAAGGCTTGCTTTCTCAAGGTTATTAACCTGTAAGACAAAGGTAGTTCAGTACTAGTCTAGAAACTTTTTTTTGGAAATCATCCTGGAAAAACAGCAGCTAGGGGTGCACTAATAAAGATTTTCTTGGTCTATACTAATAGCTGATGATTAACCAACCATATTGGCCAATACCGATCCGCTAACCGATCTTTGGTAATAATGCAAGTCATTTTAAAATGCCTGGCACTTGCAGCCCCACTCCTGCATAGCTCTTGCTGCTGTCCTGGGCGGGTAGGGTGGATCCTCTTGCAGACCATGTTGCTGGGTACGTTTGGAGTTCCAGAGCACGCCGCTGCCTTAGCACCAGCGGACCCTGTGTAGGTGCGCTCCCTTGGCTGCTCGGGCAAAGCCACTTTTGCAAAGGCGCCCAGTGCCTGGCGGAGCAGAATGTCCTTTGCACTGGTGCCTTACTCTGCCTGCGCGCAGCCTGATGTCTCTGTGGCAGGCCCAGTGTTCAGGCTTCTGCTGCATGCACAGCATTGTAGCAGGAGCTGGTAACCAGTACCTTTGCTGAGTGTGGCACCCCATAACTGCTTCCCAGTGCCCCTTCCCGCTGTGCACCAGGACCTGTAGACTGCTGCAGGTTTGGCTCAGCAGTGGGGCATGGGGAATGAGCTATGCTCTCCAGGGTGCTCTGGGTATGCGGCTGTCATTATCAGCTACAAAAACCAAAGAAAGCTGATAGCCAGTAATGTCATTTTTCCTTTTATCTGTGCCAATCCAATAGCCAGCCAATATATCCCTAATAACAGTGTGATCATAGACATTTCCCTGTGCTATTAAATGCTGTATTTATGTGAATACTTCTTTTAAGATGATTCCCCAAAAATTTGAATCTATGCATGGAAAATTAGAAGTAATCTATAATTGTAAATTGTAAATTACTTACAATTTTCCAGGTAAAGAATCTAGTGGTTGTCTTCAATTCATCTCCCTTCACTGCTGTGGGGATGGGGAGGGAAGCAGTGGGAAGACAAGTGGCAGGGGGGCAGGCATGGTGGTTAAGTGTCAGGACATTGTCCTCTTAGGAATATCTGTCTTAAATTTCATGAAACAAGATTATATGCAATGCTAGATAAAAAAAATTATGCTTAATAATCACAGGTGGTGGAAATTGCTTTAAATGCTTAAAGCTGTCAGCTGATTTCCATTATAAGAAGAGGTTTTCTATTGCTTGTATCTTTGTCAGACTTAAATTATCTGAGCAGAAGCTTTTCATGGTGGCATGTGTTTGAGGCTAAAATGAGTTGGAAAAGTGCAGCTGTTTCCAAGAATCTGATTAGAAAAAGCAATTCTTAGACCTAAATGTTTTATGAGAAGTTTCTTGTGCTTCCGTAGTGAAACTTGGCAAGGAGTGTGCACAGGTATCTGGAATATTCTTTTGCTGTCTTTATGATAATCTGCCAGATGGGCTTTTGAAAATTCTTAGTTTTCCCATGCTCAGAAGCACATTGTTTGAATTTTGGCAATTAAACTTTCTGATGACTCTTTCAGAAGTGAGTGCTTCATCTCCTGTGGCTCCTGTATACTGATCAGATGGTGTGTGCTATACCTATATTGTAACTGCTCGCTCCAATACGGATATGGTGTCATTGCTGAGACGGACTTCTGTGCAGTCTTTTTTCTCTTGGCTACGGTGGACCACCATAGTGATGATTCCTACCCAGAGTGGTGTGGAAGAGTGAAGGAGAAAGCAACATGGCAGCTTGCGCTAGACTGAGTGAAGAAATTGTGGCTCAGCAGAGGGAGAAATGGATAACAGATTCCAGCTTAGGGTGAAAGAAACATCAGATCAGGGAGGAGAAGGAATAGGAACTGGAGAGGAGGGAAAATAGAAAAAGGAGGGTAAGATAGGACATGAACAGAGAGTGAAAGGAATATAGGAGTCAGGAGCCATGGCTTGGGGTGGAGGGAAGGTAGGAATGAGGGAAGGGAATGTAGGCTGGAGTTGTGGAAGAAGAATGGAGATGGGAGATGCAGAAGCTAGGGAAGGGGTTGGGGAAGGATAGGAGCCAGGGGTGGGGAATAAGGCCAGGATTTGACAGGGGTAGAAGCAGTTGGTGAATGGGGAGCAGGAAGGGTATGGAGGACAAGAGCAAGCATGGAGTAGGGAACAGGGTTAGGAGCAGATGGTAGGATAAAGAAAAGGGGGAGGGACAGTGTTAGGAGTTTGGGAGGAAATGCTAGTGGCAATTGTGATATTAAGACCAGTGGTTTAAGGACAGAAGGATCTTTAACTGTTACATAACACTTCTCACCAGAATCTGGAGTTGTCCTAGTCTCTGAATCGCAGTGTTTCCTTTTGTGTCTATTTAAAAAGCTATGAAATCTGCTGGCAAAATTAGCCATGTTACACAGAAGCCTTCTTCTATTAGTCCATTTACTCTATCCAGTGTCTGTTCTGTATCTAAAGATCCTAGGTGTGCAGATGATCCAAATGAGACATGCTACCCAAGGATGAAATTTAAATTGGTCTTTTGGAAAAATGTTTTGGAACCGTTGCTTCTGTGATAAAAGAATATTAAGGATGTAGAGTTAATTACTCACAAATTGGGAAAATCCAGAATTAAGATTATTCATATAGCCTTAATTCATCTCCCTTATGCATGTGCATAACTTCATGATCACATATTATCTTTTTTCTCCATAGAATCCTTGCTTCTTTCAGTGTAAGGGACTGTGGTCTGTGGATCTATCAGTTAGATGATGAATGAGGCCATTTTTTTTAGGATTATCATCTCATTTGTTGGAGAAGTAGGAAGAAGGGAACGAGGCAGGACATTTTAATTTTACCCATGGTCTCATGGGTAAAGGCAGTTGAATGCCACCCTGGAGAAGTGTGTATCCCTCCTTTTGTCATTGTGTCCCTGTGTGATGCAGGGGAAGTTGTAAATGAAAAAAATCCCATTGTGGTAGCTCCCATTTCATTTTCTGATTGCCCAGCTGGGGATGCCTTAGGGTTAACTTGCAGAAACACTGAGTGGTAAGTGAGGCCAATTAGAGTCTGCTGTGAGCATGTAATGTGCTATAAATAGGGAGCTACCTAAATCACGGCAGAAGTTCATTGTGCAGCGGTGCCTTCAATCCCGCTCATTTTGCTGTGCCCCCACACTAGTGGCCAAGAGGCAATTAATGCTGTGGTTTTTGCCTCTAGACCCACTCAGTAGTCATGGGGGGAATGCAACGAAAAGCAAGATTAAAGGCACCACTGCCCTGCAAACTTGCGCTGTGATTTAGGAAAATCCCTAGCTAAAAATGCTAAGCACTCTAAAAAGCAACCCCTAAGCTTCTCATATTGGGCACCCAACGTTAGTTAATATTTTTGCCAGTTTTGACATTTAATGTCAGTGTCTGAGTTCTCCTAATCTAATATTACATTACTTCTCCTCACATGGTCATTCTTAAGATATGTGCACCATAGAAAAGCCAGCAAACTGATTAACTCTGTATTCAGTGCAGAGGTCTTGTAGTGTGCAGTAATAATGAGAAGGCCACACAATAGAGTACATCTGTGCTGCAATCCAGAGGAGTAATTGCAGCTAACGTCTTTAATACCCTAATTGGTTTCAGTCTAGCAATCCTGGGAGTGCAGGCTGCAAAACTTTGCATGTATTCTTGGATAAATACTTGGGCTGAGTTCTTTGCTGCCATGGACTCACTCTTACTAGTTCCCAGGCTAGCCAGTTTAAAGTGAACTCACATATGTCTACCCAGATTGCAGTCACACTTTTGGGTTGCAGGGTTGATATAGCCACAGAATAGCTATGATACTTGCATGTGCATATACGCATTGAATTTAGTGAATGCTTTTTTGTGTACAGATTGAGAATGTGCTGTTTCTCCCACCAGAAAACCCTGTCAGGTAATTAGACTGGGCATTACATATGCACAGAAATGTCCAAAGTAAGATCGTATTTTCTAATTTTTAAGTGTTTGACTTTTCAATATTTAACATTGTTTATATCATAAAATACCATGTTTAAATTACGTTATCCTCCTGGAAACTGATTCCCTAAGAGGTAACATCTGAGAACTGATTTCCTCAGAGATTATGCTTGATGTTTGAATAATGACTAAGAGTTTGTTCTTTGAGAAAGCATCACGGTGTGGAAAAGGGAAGTTGTCAAGTCATTAGGGCACCTATGCATGAGCAGTGAGGCTGCAGCATGTCAGAGCAGGCCCAATTAATCGAGTCTACTGGAGAGTGGTAATGACCATGCTCCAGAAGACTCCACTGTCTCATGTATCAGGGTCCCTGGATTTAAAAATGGCAGTGGGAGTGCTTTTAACTAAGTAAAGTTTGTTCAAGGAGCCTTAGTTAAAGCACCCCCACTGCCATTTTTAAGCATGGGGCCCCCACCGCCATTTTTAAGCATGGGGACACTGATATACAAGACACTCTGGGTGCTTTAATTAGAGCAACTCTTGGAGCTGCTTTAAATAAAGTGCTGCTCCCCCGCCCCCTCTGCATGTGTATAAATGTTCTAGGAGTTGGGCAAAACAACCAAGAATTCTTGTTTGGCAATAAAATTGTCTGTTTAGTTTAGATGTTCTAGATACCTTATGTACTTTTTATAGTCCCCTCAGTGCCACTGTGAAGTAGGTAAAGATGTACTGCATTTTATAGAAGCACGGACAGAGTCTGAGCTTTTTACCTTCATTTGTATCAGGAGTTTGTGATGGAATAAGGAACTGAACTTAGAATATAAACAGATGTTGCCAAATTAAGCACGGCTGATCTGCTTTATTGAATGAAACGTACAGTGCCTGCTTTTCCACTTTGGGTAGGGGGTGTGATCCTGTAGGACAATAGGTGATGTATTCCCTGCTTTTAGAGATGTGCCTCTGAGATTGCCCAGGGCAAGTTTCTGTAAGTGGGAAAAGCCAGGGTTTTCTGCTTGCAGACGCATGCCCTGGAGATTGTCTGAGGCACCTCTCTCTAGGAGAGGAAAACTACCTCCAGAGTCACAAGGGCCCCAGTCCTGGGAATTCCTGGGGTGCACAGGATCAGACCCAGGCATTTGGAGAGTGCAGGCAGTTCTGGGCTGCCCATACTGTTGTCCCATAAAGTGGCAAAGCTATTGCCACCTTTATCGTGACCACAATTTTTTGGCATTAGTGGCACTACAAGGGGTGTGGTTTGCTTGGCCTTTGTGCTGCCATAACTTTTTTATGGTGGCACAAAGGGGACTTCTTTTTCTACCCTTCGATCTTATAAGTCGTAGATCAGTACGTTTAACTAGCCAGTTGCACTTCAGTTGTTTAGTTCTGGATGGTTACTATACAAGATGGTGTGCCTAGTTTTGCTGTTGAAAATTGTGGCTTGCTTAATTTTAATTCAAAGATTAGCTGTGCTTGCTCTAAATGTTTATATCTGTCATCATTTTCTGTGATATTAAAGCACTGCAGGTTCCTTTTTCAATATATTTTCATAATTTTTATTCTGTCTGCAGATGTGGTGACTAAAAGAATCAGTCTTGTGGCCTGTATAGTACATAGTGCCTTAACGATGGGGTTTGGGAGTGACCTGAAATATTCTCATGATGCTTTGTTGCAATTGCAAGACTGGGAGCTACGACTGCTGGAAGCAGTGAAGAAATTCATGGCCATGCGAGTAAAAAGTGACAAAGAATATGCATCCACTTTACAGAATCTTTGTAACCAGGTGGATAAAGAGAGTACTTTCCAGCTGGATTATATTAGCAATGTGTCCAAGGTAAGAGAATATTATCAATTGAAAATAGAGCAATTTTTCTTTTAAAAATGCATAGATAACATACTTTGAGTTATTTTTGTAGCTAATATGAAAGAACAGTTGTTTTTGTTGAATCAGAGATGATGAACTGTTTAGAAGTGTGTCAGAATAAATGTTGCTTCTAGTATGTTATCACTTTGAGGTTGATTTCACTGAGCTATTCTCAGCTCTCTGTTCCTTCTGCTTTATTCTCCAGTCGTCCCCATTTTACTTCAAGTGAAATGTTAGTTGGTTTATGCCAGAGTAATGTAGCCAATAGGTTCCTACTAATGCATTTTTTTTTTTATTTTTAGGATTAGTAAAAGTTTGGAGTTGTAAATGCTTGGGGTGGAGTGAATGGCATTCAAGCTCCCCTGAAGAGCTGAGAACAATGAACTAAACTAGAATCCCTAATTCGGTGCTCTGGTATTGTAGACTCCCAGGGTTACTCAGCTGCTTTGTCTAGTGTTTTTTTTTTAAAGTATGCTATGTTGTAGTGAAAAATTTCTTTTTTTTACAGTTAAAAAGAAACTCTTGTTTATATAATGTACTTTTTAATATAATAAACTGTATTAATGCTTTGTATTTTTTTCAGCTGCATACCATGGTGTGAATAATGGTCAGAATGTCAGCCTCAGCTCTGAATTTCCTGGCTTTTTTTGTGTGTCACAGAATATCAGACTTTTTTTTTTCTCGTAATATTATTTAAAGGGATTGCTTTGTGTATACAGTTTACAGTACCAAAAAATCTTGACTCTTGAAAAGTTTAAAAAATCCATGAACATTGTTTACTAAATAGATCAAGATCAGGTACAACAAAGGTAGTGGCAAAGCAAATTCACATCACTTGCAACTAAGCTCCAACTCTGCCTGATCTGGTAGAGAGAGGACAGTAATGTCTTAAAGGCTCATTTCATCCTTGCCCTCTTCTGAGAAAAGCTGGATTAGGAGACCTTACCCACTCATGCTGGTCACCAGATAATTGTTATGTACCAGCTTTCAATTGCTGTCAACCTTGAATCTCAATTTCAATGCTGTGTAGTAGTACAGCCTCGAAATGGTGAAGTGTTTCCTGTAAAGTGCCTGTAGCTTGGTAATTAGAACACTTCCTTGGGAATTCTGTTTGTTTCTTCCATCCTCAAGCAGAGGTAGGCCTATAAGCCATAGGTATCCTGAGTGAATGCTGGAAATACTCAATTACGGGTTAAAGGTACTCCCACCTTTTTCTGCGATTTAGATGCATCCTGTTTCATTCATGTCTTTGAATGGAAGTGGCATAGACTACTGTGTTGTGCTTAGGCACTTAAATTCTAAACCTTAGTCTAGGCAAATTATGGACTCTCCATGTCATTGGAGGTGTTCAGTAAGTGCCTGGAAAGCCACTGGTCATGGATGATCTAGGTGTTGCTATACTGTTTTTGAGATCTGCACCATTCTCGTATACCACAAGAAATTGAATAAGTACTTCTTCTTGTATGACTATAAGTAGTCAGTGTCCTAATCTTACCATTTAGCTGAAAAAAATGCATGTTTACATGACAGTGAAGTTTAGTGTTCTGCTAAGGTGTTATTTTTAAGGCTTATTAGAAGTGGAAAGTAAAGCCAAATAAGTGATCAGCAACATTTCTGGCATAGAATTGTAGAGAAGTAGGGCTGGAAGGGACCTCCAGGGGTCATCTAGTCTTTCATCAGTCCCATGGGATGCTCATGCCCACTACGGGACAGGGAGGTCTGGGGGAGGGAGATCCCCTGCTCTCCATTAATGCTGACTTCGTGAAGGAACACCTTGGAAAGCTGGATACCTTCAAGTCAGCCGGCTCTGAGAATCTACACCCCAGGGTACTCAAGGAGCTGGTGAACATCATAGCCCAGCCTCTGGCACGGATCTTTGAAAACTCCTGGCACTCTGCTGTAGTGCCTGAAGACTGGAAGAAGGCCAGTGTGGGGCCTATCTTCAAGAAAGGGAGGAAACTGGATCCAGCTAACTATAGGCCCATTACCCTGACTTCTATCTCAGGGGAGATCTTAGAAAAGTTTATTAAAGAAGCCATCCTTAATGGACTGGCTGACGCCAACATGCTAAGGGATAGCCAGCACAGGTTTGTTGCGGATAGGTCTTGCTTGACCAATCTCATTTCCTTCTATGACCAGGTGACCTATCACCTGGACAAGGGAGATGAAATTGATGTCTTATCTTGACTTCAAAAAAGCCTTCGATCTGGTATCCCATGATCATCTCTTGGCGAAACTGGCCAATTTTTTGTGGCATTGGGTCCACCATGATCTGCTGGCTGGGAAATTGGGTCTGTGGTCAGACCCAGAGGGTAGAAGTTGATGGCAGTCTCTCATCATGGTGCCCTGTGACCAGTGGGGTCCCCCAAGGCTCTGTCTTTGGACCCATATTGTTCAACATCTTCATTAATGATGTGGACATTGGAGTCAGAAGCGGACTGACCAAGTTCGATGATGACACCAAACTTTGGGGCAAAACATCCACACCAGAAGACAGGCGGGTGATCTAGGCTGACCTGGACAGGCTCAGGAAATGGGCAGATGAGAACCTGATGGTGTTTAACACCGAAAAATGCAAGGTTCTCCACCTTGGGAGGAAAAACCTGCAGCATCCGTACAGGCTCGGC